AACAACAACAACAACGACAACAACAACAACAACGACAACAACAACAACAACGACAACAACAACAACGACAACAACAACAACAACAAATAATAATAACAAACCTTTTGGACGTTGAGCCTGGATGCCGGTAACCCTGAAGTAACGCTGCTGACGATGACGGCCTCTTCATACTTGTCCAACAGAAACTCCTGTTTTTAAAAGAAAAAAGAATAAAACAATGGTAATACTTGATAATAATGATGGTGGTGATGATGACGATGATGATGATAATCATCATCGTCATCCTCTTCTTCTTCTTCGTCATCATCATCGCCATCCTCTTCTTCTTCTTCGTCATCATCATCATCCTCTTCTTCTTCATCATCATCATCATCATCATCATGGCTAACGTCTTCAAAAGTGATTCCTAGGTTGGGGGAGGTCTTGGTGATCTCAACGTCATAAGCAGCCCACAGCTTCTTTCGAAAGTTCAAAAGGTCAGTCCAGGGCATTGAGTCTGCCATCGATGATGATGATGATGATGTTGGTGATGATGATGATGATGATGTTGGTAATGATGATGTTGGTAAGGATGATGATGAAAGTAGTGATGCTGGTAATGGTGATACTGATGATGTTGGTAATGATGATGATGATGATGATGATGATGATCAGTCACATGACGAAAACGACGACATAAACAACAGCAACAGTGCATGGCATTGAGTCTTGCGATGATGATGATGATGTTGGGGTGGTGATAATGATCAGTCGCGTGAGAACAAAACAACAACACAAACAACAACAGTCATGTGACCATCAAAACACAAACAATGTAAACAATAACAAACCTAAAGCCTATGAGCAAATGACGTGCTAAGAATCAACCAACCAACAACGTAAACAACAACAGTCACCTGACCAAAACAACAACAACAACCTAGAGCTAGCGAACAGATGATGTACGAATCGCCAGGAGTGGCCAATAGCCTGGTGCAGCCAACGACAACAACACTCAATTGACCGACACTTAATTTGATTCCACTATAATATACATCATGCGTCGTTGCTTTGTCAACTGGCATTACGAAAAACGGCTTGTACCGCATCTTGTAATTGGGTAGCGTGTGCTTCTTCCGAATGGATCGACGGATCTGATTGGTCGGTTGGGATGAGTGGGTTGTGATGCGATTTGATTGGTCGGTTGGGATGGGTTGTGATTTGATTGGACGGTTGGAATTGATGAGTTGTGACGATGAAGGTTATGACGTCAATGACGATGAGGACGAAAATGACGATAATGAATATGATAGTACAGGTGATTAAGTTACCTGGTTAGTGATAATGGATGTAATCCGGTTCAATGGCCTGCCTTCAAAATGGGAGTCAACATCAAACTCCAGTGTCGGATCCTGAAAATGTTTGTGTAGTTGAGTGGGTTGTTCATTCATTCATTCATTCATTCATTCGTTTACTCAATCACTCATTCTCACGACATAGATCTATGCATAATTCATACATCAATTCATATATTCTTTCAAAAAACAGACAGCCAACTAGACAGACGGACCTCAACAAAGGCAAAAGACCAATGTCTATAGGGAACATTGGTCAGCCGCAGCCTAGCACACCCTTTCAGTTTGGTAACAGTGACGGAGAGATAAGCAGTTTTGCCAAAGACCATATCAACATCGACGGCCAACTGGAACCGGCCGTTGTAGGACAGATCAAACTGAAGCGCTACATCATCCAGCTGTTTATCCTCGTTCAAAGTGATGTTTGAGATGCTGACGTTCGAAATTACCGGAAATGTGTGGCCGAGATTGAAGCCACGGATGCGGATGTCGTCCAGGAGTTTGCCCGTCGTCGAGTGCAGAAGTTCCGTGAATTCTACTTTTAGTTTTTTCATTGCCCATCTGTGCGTGTGTGTGTGTGTGAATTTTTTAATATGCTTATGTGCGTGCGCGTGTATTTTGCATGAATGCGTGTGCGTGTGTATGCACTAAAAAATTGAAACATAATCTAGCGATGAATGGTGAATAAAAAAATGAAAGTAAAGAGAGAGAGAGAGAGAGAGAGAGAAAAGCAATGCAGAGATAGACAGAAGCATTCATTCAAAAACTTACAACAATCGGAGAATCAATATTTGTCAGTCAGTACATACAAACATCAACCTAGACAACATGTGCAAAACATACAAACCTACAGGCCAACATCATACATACGCACACACATAATGCAAACATACATACACACATCCATGCACACATACAAACAAGCAACAAATATCAAAACATATATCCAAAGCAGCACATATGAAAACATAAAAAACAGAAAAGTGATAACATGTGAGCAACTGTAAGCAAACAATCACCAATCACATACACACGTACACGACAAACAATACACACCCATGTATAAACACACACACACAGACAGACACACATACAAACCACATACACACACACAAACAAACAAACAAACAAAACCAAACAAAACAGTTTGTACTTGTTAACCCAAACCATGAAGAGCTTCATAAAAACATTATTAACAATACAATTATAATTAAAACTCTAAAGACAATAATAATAATAATTATTATTATTATTATTATTATAAAAAAATATTAAAAAATATAAGAATAAAAACAACTTGTAAAAATTAATAAAAAACCAGGCATACATAATCCTAACATAAAAATTACATACCTCAATTTGATGTTTTGATTATAAAAAATTTCAAGTTTGAGCAAATAATAATTATAAGAAAAAAGAAAGAAAGAAACGAAGAAAGAAAGAAAGAAGAAAAGAAAGAAAGAAAGAAAGGAAGGTAGGTAAAGAAAAAAATGAATGAATGAATAAGTGAATGAATGAATGAATGAATGAATGAATGAATGAATGAATGAATGAATGAATGAATGAATGAATGAATGAATGAATGAATGAATGAATGAACGAACGAACGAACGATTATCCCCTAACTTTCTGACATAATCAGCATCTTTGATTTCTTGAAATAAAAACTGAAAAATAAAATTGAGGCCCTTATAGGATTCTCTGACATTTTGCCAGGTACTTTCGTCCAAATAGTCCTGAAGTTCCTTTTAAAATAATTTATCAGGAAATTTCACTTTCAATCTTGTTGTATTTAACTTTTAAACTTATCAAAAAAAAAAAAATAATCTAAAAAATTTTACTTTTGGCAGAACAAACGGATCGGATTGAGATCTCCAGTCTGGGCTAACCCTAGGAAGAGTACCAAACCAATAGCGTAGTATGAGGAACTGTACAAATAAGCAGAGTACTACGCCAAACAGTACACAGAATATTAAAAGTAGAAACATCTTGGTATTGTTAAGTGGTGGAGTATTTATTGTTGCTGATGTGTTGTGTCTGTCGTTGATGCGTTGTGGCTTTTGTTGATGTATTACGTATTTATTTACTAACTTTAATCACAACAATAGGGTATTAAGGTATATATCAAGGGCTATGACATCGCGATAAAAGATTTTAATGTCGTCGTGTCGGTGAACTGGGGATCCTTTTTCGCTAATAAATCTTGTCAACCTGTAGTTTTAATAAAATGAATATTAATTTGGTGATAACTACAATCTATATAAATAGTCTTTATTGAATGAATATAGAAAAATTTAAAAGATACAAATCAAGAAATTTATATTATTATTTAAATAAAATAACTTATCTCAGATATTACAAATTAAATAGCATATATAGATAACATACCAAAAAAAATTATTTTTCTCATCAACAAACATTAAACTTTATTCATTTATATAAAAGGAAATGTATATGAAATAGGATATATTATAAAGTCATAGTATATATATATATATATATATATATATATATATATATATATATATATATATATATATGGATGTATATATGTATATATGAATGTTCATATAATATGTATATATACAAATGCATGTTGCATGTATACTATATAATGCATGAATGCAAGTATGGTAAACTATATGAATTTAATTAAATATCTAATCTACTTAAACAAAGAAACACACAAAGATAAACATGTGACCAGATGTTGTTTTGTTTCATGAACATTTTGAAGCAATTACAAATTCAAATAAAGTAGACATTATTAATAAATTATCAATTATTCAAATTAATTTATTGTTATTTATAGTTAACTTTGAGTCCCCAAATTTCAAATTGTAAATAATAAGAAAGAGAAGAGATAATCATTATAATAATCAATCTGAAAAAAATATAACAAACAAAAGAATTAATTGAATGGAAAGAATGAATGAGACAAATGAATGAAAAAATGAAAGAAAAAAGAATAATATTTTCAACCATTGCCACCCCATTTAATTACACTCACTAACTAGAAAAAATGTTAGTATTTGTTGGGTTAGGTTAGTGAATCAAATTTTAAAATTTTTTTCATTCATTTCATATCAACAACAAACATCATGACAATTAATTTTTAAACAAAAAAATATTAATAATTAATTACCTCTTTCATCCATTTTATATTTACGAATTATAAAAATTAATTTCGCAAAAACAAATTTTAAACTAAATTAAAACCATCTTTTCAAAAAACACAAGAAATAAACAAGGAAACAATTCTCCTTTGTTTATACTACCTGGTTCGATTAATATCCAGAGCCATTTAAATGAACTAACAGACAACGAAAAGCATTTATAAGTTTTTAAAATAAGATTTTTATAAAATTTTATCATTTTTTATTGTTAAAAACATGAATTTAATGTAAATTATCACTTTAGCGTGTAATTCAGTGTGAAAAATTCACATATGGTTGCTGTATTTAATTAAGATTGAACTATTTTAACGTTGCTTGTGTGCACAAAATTACAATTTTTTAATTATAATTAGATTTTATAAAAATTATATTAAAACTTATATTTTGAAGTATAAAATTAGTTGTTATTTTTCAAAAGTTTATTCAAAGAAAATTTTAACTTTCCATATTTTTAGTGTTTTAAAACCTTCTCGAATTATGCAGCTTAAGTGATTGAGCTCAGCTTGCTAATTTCAGGTTTTATTTTCGCTTTTTTTCGTCATAATTCGTGATAATTTATCACGTCGACCATTTTTATTAATTTAAATAACCTTTTCGAGCGATTTCGATGTTTAAAAGTTGTTTTTGTAAAGTTTGTATCATTTTCACTGTTTAATATTAACATAAGATCAATTAATAAAAAATCGCTCTATAGTCTATCTATATCCATCAAATAATCTCTTCCTCCTTACCTGATTTTTTTACTCTTACTGAAACTTGGCACGAGGACTCCCTCTCTTATTCTTGCTACTCCTGATGGTTACAGCTTCCTTGAACTCTCTAGACCTCCAAAAAATCTTCTATCATCTTCTCATTCTTCTTATGGGGGTATCTGTCTGTTCTATAAATCTCTATTTACTGCTTCCATTAATACTTCCTTTAATTTTTCTTCTTTTGAATGTCTTGCTGTATCTCTTAAGTCTTCTTCTCTATCTTTTTATATTGCTGTAATCTATCGCCCTCCTTCTTTAATCACTTTATTTTTGGATGAATTCTACTCACTCGCTGAATCTCTCTACTCTTTTTCTATTCCTTTCTACATCTCTGGTGATTTCAACTTGCACTTCAATAATTTATCATGTTCTTACACTCGTAGATTTAATGATATTTTGTCTCTTTTTAACTTAACTCAATATTGTTCTTTTCCTACCCATACTTCTGATAACACTATTGATTTTATTATAACTTTATCTTTTTCTAAGCCAATTAATATCTCTGTTAGCTCTGTTCCTTTTTCTGATCACCTTCTTATTGGATCTGTTTTTTCATTAGATTTTCTTCCTTCAAATTCATCTATGTCTATTTCTAAAAGATGCTGGTCTTCTCGTAATAAAGATATTTTTCTTCAATCTCTTACTGAAACTATTTTTGATACTACCTTATTTTCTGATGTTGATGATTTTGTCTGTGCTTTTAATATCTACATTACTTCTATTCTTGATAAGCTTATTCTTCTTAAATCTTTTACTTATTGGCTCTATTCTCGTAAGGCTCCTTGGTTTGATTATGCTTGTGTAGTAGCCAAGAAAAGTCTTAGAAGACTGGAGAAAGCCTATAGGTTAAATCCATCTAACTCTCTTTATTCTATCTATGAATTTGAATTGATTAATTATAAATATCTACTATTCTCTAAACACTCTACTTTTCTTAGAAATTCTATAACATCTGCTTCAACATCTAAAAATAGGTGGTCTGTTCTATCTAAACTTCTACATAAAAAATCTTTTCACTCATCATTTTCTGCTCAACAGTTTCATGACTTTTTTGTAAATAAAATTACATCTTTTAGAACATTTAATTCTAATTTTTCTTCTCATAACTTTACTAAACTTACTACTGAATCTTTTTCTGTATTTACTCCAATAAATCTTTTAGAATAAACTAAAATTATTAATTCTATGTCGTCTACAACCTGTTCTCTAGATCTACTTCCTTCTAATTTACTTAAAGAATTTTCTTCAATATTTTATCCAATCATTCTCAAATTAGTTAATTTATCTCTTTCCACCTCTAAATTTCCTACTTCTTATAAGAATTCTATTGTTATTCCTATTCTTAAAAACTCATCCCTAGATCCTACCTCTTTATCTAATTATAGACCTGTAACTAATATTACTTTCATCTCTAAAATAATAGAAAAAGTAGTTTTTACTCAACTGTCATCCTATTTAGACTTTAGCTCTTTGCTACCTGTATCTCAATCTGGTTTCAGATCTGCTCACAGTACTGAAACTTCTTTACTTAAAATACACAATGATATCCTTCTCTCTAGTGACAATAGTAATCTTACTCTTCTTCTTGCTCTTGACTTTTCCTCAGCTTTTGATACTGTTGACCATACTATTCTCTTGACACTGCTGCATCTTTCTTTTAATATTACTGATTCTTGTCTATCTTGGTTTTCTTCTTATCTCTGTAATCGTTTTTCTTCTGTTGTTCTCAATAATTCTACTTCTAACTCCTCTACTCTTACTTTCGGGGTACCTCAGGGTTCTATCCTTGGCCCTCTTCTATATATACTCTATACTTCTGAACTACCTCGTATTATTAATAACTTTTCTTTCTCTAGTCAACTATATGCTGATGATTCTTACATTTATACTTCTTTTCCTCCATCTAATCCCAATAGTGTTCTTCATAATTTATCTCTATGTCTTTCTTCAATTATCGCTTGGTCTGACTCTATGTGTCTTAAACTTAATCCTTCTAAGTTTGAATTAATTTGTTTTAATAAATCTAAACACTCTATTACTATTCCTCCTATTATCTTACCTGATTCTAAAACTCTTGGTGTCTCTCATAAGTTTCGTAGTCTAGGTTTTATCTTTGATTCTACTATGTCTCTCTCTTCTCAGATTAATAGTGTTGCTAAAAGCTCTTACTTTCATCTACGTACAATAAAAAAACTTTTGCCTTTTCTTGATGATCCTACTCTTCTTCTTGTTACTTCGTTAGTCTTATCTAGGATTGATTATTGTAACTCGCTCTACTATGGTCTTCCTGACTCTATACTCTATCCTTTAAGTAAAGCTTTTAACTCTGCTGCTTGTCTAGTTGCTCATGCCCCTTTCTTTTTTCATATATCTCCATATCTTGTTCTCTTGCACTGGCTACCTATAAAATATAGAATAATTTTTAAAATTTGCACATTCATGTATAAGTCTCAATCTAAATTATTTTCTAAGTATTTATCAGATATATTAATTGAACCTAAACACTCTTTTGCCAAATCTGCTTTTGCTTTTTCTGGTCCTTTTCTCTGGAACTCTCTACCTACTTCTCTGACTACTTCTCCATCACTTGCGAAGTTCAGAGCGGATCTCAAGACCCATCTGTTTTCAAAATTCATTGAGGAGCGCTGTTGAACATTGTGGAAATAGCGCTTTATAAGCTAATTGATTGATTGAAGAAACATGTTGTGTGTAAGACATCATCATTAATATGTTGTGATATACATATTCATATACTATAGATGTTGATTTGTTATTGCTATTTTTAAAATTTTAAATCAATTAATTAATAAATTAATTTGAATTTAAAATGTTTTCAGTCATGTTTGTGCGTGTATTGTTCATTATATGGTATAGTATGAATTAGTGATTTGTCATTCATTATTATTAGATAAGGAAGTAAAGATGACTTATTTATTTTTATTTTTCTTAATCTCTTCTCATATGTATAGTTTTTTTATAAAAAATAATTATTAAATATGTTTCACTTGCTAACCTTATTTTTTTTACAAAGGTTAGAATAAAATGAAATTTTATTCAACTCTGTCCATATTTAAATATTCATGGGATCAAGTGGCCGTGGGTTTCTGGTCTAGGTACCCAAATCCTTACAGGTTGGTAATAATATTTTCTAAATTCTATCAAATAGATTTGTATTTTGTGTCAATTTTGAGAAATTTTCAAAAAATTAATGAAAAAATAAAACGAAACAAATGAGTATTATTGACCAATGTTTAATTATCTAGTGTTTAACTCAAAATGTTTATCCCCAATGAACAGCATGCATGTTCTGACAGAAGATGTAATAGACCAGCGGGTGCTATCCTGTGGTTCACTGCTCACTAAACGCCTAATCACTAAAACGAACAGCATACCAAAGTGGGGTGAAAAGTTTATTCCAGGGCCCAAACATGTCTGTGTACTTGAGGAGTCAATTGTTGATCCCCAGACAAAAACCATGAAGACATATACTAGAAATTTAGGGTACACCTCTATAATGGTATGTCTATTTTACATTAGTAGAGTTGTGTGTGTGCGCATGCACTGCACATGTGTGTGTTTGTGCTGCCTCCACAGTAATTGTAGTAATAATGTTTTGTATTTGGCAGATTTCTATTTGTTTTTTATTTCTAAAATGTTTAAAAATTATGTATTGTCATATAAGTCTCAATGATTTCACTTTTCTCTCATTTAATATCTTAATGTTAGTACTACTTGCAGCATGTAACAGAAGTAAAAAAATTAAATTAAAATTAAGAGAATTTGTGATTTCACTAACACCACCAACTTAACACAACGTACCTACCAACCAACACTCAGACAGTTGAAGAAGAATGCACATACAAGCCATCAGAGGAGAATGAGGGCTGGACAGTCTGCCAGAGACACGCGACAGTCAACAGCAAAGTGAAAGGCTTCTCCTACTGTCTACAAACATTCGGCATCGAACGGTTCAAAAAAAATGTCACGAAATCTGTCAAAGGATTTAACTTTGTCTTGAATAAGTTATATCCTGGCATGCCTGAAGCCTACTTGACTAAAAAACAGAAACTGAAGCAAACAGCTGAGGCAGCTAAGAAAATTGCTTCATCTGTCATTGCTACTAATTGAATTTTCAACCTAGTGTTTATAACAAAAAAATATGCACATATACACAAGTACATATATTTGCATACATATATATAAATATATATGTGCGTGTGTTTTTTGTGTGTGCATATATGCAGCTACATGTGTGTATAATACCACCATAAGTTTTCTGTACTGTTTGAAAAATAGTACTCCATATACTATGATAATTATGTTTAAGGGTTTTTTTCGTTTGGGTATAAGAGTTAATTATTTTATACTTACATCATATTATTTTCAAATATACTATATATCATTTATTTTTCATCCATTGCTAAAATAATAAGCAATGATCTTGTGAGGCAAGCAAATGAATGAATAATCACCACTACGAAACAATAAATATCACTTTTATCATCATAATTATTATTATTAATTATATTATTTATATGATAATTATAAGACAATAATAACGATGATCATTTTATTATCATCAACAGCAAGAAAATCTTCCATACTCAGGCAATGATGAGACCAAAAAAAATTGTTTATTCTTCTTCATTTGAGGTGATAGGTAGAAAAATCAAAGAAGAATGTATCTGTAAACTTTTAAAATTTGAAAAGTGTAAAAATAGTACATTTTTAAAACCCTCACACAGTACAGTATAGCAAAGTATAGAGGGTTTTAAAAATGTTAGAGGCTAATTTACACACACGTACGCACACAGTACGTATAGTGCATATATATATAAAAAACAACATCTGCCTTATTAAAAAATTTCTTATTACATTTTGAAGATCCTAAAAGTTAAAGCTAGTAAATGAAAAAACATTGTCATCAGACAAATCCTATCAGTCCAATTCCTAAAAACCTAATATTCTCTATAATGGAACGTTGTAAAGTTTTCTCTTTCTGTAGCAACGACATGGTGATGATGTCAAATGGAACGCGTATAAAAACAATAAATCAATAGTTTGCTTTAGAAACAATTGACAAAAATGTGAAAATGAGAAATTTAAAATAAATGTGAAAATGAGAAATAAAAATATGTATAAAAAATTTGGAGGCCATCTTAAATGAATGAACACAACGCAACAAAGTGTAGAAGAAATTAATTAATTAATCGATTGATTAATTCAATCAATCAATTAATTAGTTATTTAGGCTTGTATCATTTTTATTGAGTATCATTTTTTTTCTAGTATCATTAGGAGAGGATAGTGGATGTCTTCATTGTATGAATCATCAGAAGATAAGTTCTGAAATGCAAATTTAAATAGTAATTTCAACAAAATTTTCATTAAATTAAAACTTTAAAAAATATAGATGCCTTCAAATGATGAAGTTCTACAACTCTTAGCAAACATCTAAAGAAAAGACGTAGATTCAATAAAAAATCTCAAATTAACCATAAATCGAACAGCAGAAACAGATAAAACGGAGGAGTTGACAACAAATTCAAAACAATTGTTGAGAAAAAACATAAAAAAAACAACCAAACAGACAGACAAACACAACAAAAACAAACAGACTGAAAAGGAAACTGGAACTGGTACCTGCACGTGTGTGTTCCAGACAGTTTCGTCGTAGTTATCAGCCCTACTCACTTTCATCACACTACTAGCTAACTTGGCGAAATTATCGAACGAATTATTCCTCCTTGGTGCGAATACAATGGCCTTACCCTTCAAAATTTTAGTAATAAAATTCAACTTTTTATGAAAAACTTTATCTGAAGCAATAAAATATTTCAAATATTAAGTCAAATTAATATCCAATCCAGTAAAATAAAATTCTATCTCTTAATATACGAGCTAATTCAATAAAATTATTCTCCTTCTGTTGCTTTTGGCTTTCTTTTTGTATCTCTCTTTTTCTCTCTCTCTTCCTCACTCTCTCCTCAAAAAACGATATGAAATATAGCAGAAAAAAGGCTAACAGAAGGTTGCAACATATACAGTAAGGCATTGAGAAGATCATTGTGGCTCTCTTCAAAAAATAAACTGTAAGAAAAAAAATATATACAAAGCAATTTATAAATTATGATTAATTCTCTTATAAATAATAATTAGATATAATTATTATTATTAATTAGAATCAAACCTATTAAAATATCAGAAATTGATCAGTGGAATTTATTAAATTGTTCATTTTTTAACTTAGTGACTAAAAATTTCGATATTTATATTTATCTATTTGTTTAATATAATTAAAATAACATGATTATATTGAATTGAATTATTGTTTTTATTAATTTATTGTTTAAATAATAATTTTAGATCAGCCAGCCAACCAATCAGCAGATAAAATAAAATGAAATCGTTCGCAGAGATCTAGGCTATCTTCAATCTCGTCCCATCTTAGCAACCTTTGTCAAAAACGGAAATATATTACAATTCATAATTAACATAAATGATAAAATAATTAATTGATGTAAAATTTGCAACGAATTAATGAATGAATACGTGAATGAATGAAAGATCGAGTGAATTTATTTATAATTTCTTACTATAAATCTACAATAGTTAGAAATAAAAAATTAAACAAAATAATTAAGCTATTAATAAAAACAATCATGAAAATTTATATGAAAAGTAAGAACTTGGAGCAGACTGATTTACAACCGAGATTGTCCACATTCATCTTCAATATTCTCTCTACATCTAACAATAAATATAACACTTAACAATAAAACCGATTTTAACCAGAAAAAAAGTTTGCTAAAAACAGTTGAACAATTAGCTAAGATTTGTCAACAGGCTACTATGATAGCCAGTTCAATTTATCAATAAGAAAAGGCTTCCACATATGTGAAGTTATTTGCGGTTGAAACTATTTAAATTGAACTTTAAAGTAATTTTTGATTTCGTGAAAAAATAATTTTTTCATAGATAATATCATTACATTAGAATAAAAATGAGAGGAAAATTTGTTTGAATTACTTTTTATGGAAAGCTCATTACCATCTGTCAGTAAAACTTCATTGGCTAGACATATCTGAGCAACCTTGAAAAAAAAATGTTTTAAAATTTCAGTATTAATTACAATGACTATAGATAATTAAAATCGTAATTATTATCACAATAATTATAAATATTATTATAATTATTCGGTATAATTGAATAAAAAAAAGATGAAAAGTAATAAGTATAATAACCCCTAATCCAGCAAAGCAAGTCATTCCTCCTCCAATTTCACATACATTTTTGTCTCTACATAATTTAGGAAAAAATATACATTCAAAAAAATTATTAAAAACTATTTAAATATTTATATCTATTATCATTTATTTATTTGTTTGTTTGTTTGTTACTTGAAAATGTCTTTGTTTTTGAGGCAGTAATAGCACAAAGTTTCTTCAGAAGGCCACACACCTAACCATGAGAAAAATATTTTAAATAATAAATGAAAGAAAGATTGAATGAACGAACAAATGAATGAAAGGAATGAATGAGTGAATGAATAAATAAATAATTTTTATTTAAAATATATTTTATTTATTTAAAAAATATTTTAAATAATAAATGAAAGAAAGATTGAATGAAAGAACAAATGAATGAAAGGAATGTATGAGTGAATGAATAAATAAATAAATAAATAACCAAATAAACAAACAAATATTAGAAACCTACTTAAATCAACTACAAAAAAACCATTTAAACAAATTTGATTGACATACACTTCCAAAATACAAATACAGCAGAACTCACATAGATTCCCGGTATTGTTGAATCCAGAAATATTTTGTATAATGACATCAGAATCTAAAAAACTGATTAAATTAAATTAATAAATATTATTAATTATTAAATTAATAATTAATGTAAATTCACATTTAAACAGGAAATAAATTAAACGGCATAATTTGTGTATAGCGTGACTTCATGCACTTACTTCTATAGTTATACAGATGTAATTTTATTTATTTGCTGTTATTTTAATGTAGTTTATTTTTATGTAGTTAATTTATTAATTATTATTATTATCTTTTGACATTACTATAATTCTTTTAATTTGAGGGGTATAATTTTTTGGAGGCATAAGAATGGCAGTTCTTTCCTCATTATTTTCTGTTTAAATTATGCTGTTATAATTCTTTACTAACACCACACATATACAAACATGACTCATTCAATTGAATCTAAAATAGTTTGAGTTAGTTGTTAGTGTTAAGTTAGGACAATGAACATCATTTAAGTTAAACTTAATTTATTTTATATGAATAAAGATAAATTAAATGCTAGTTATGTCTAACTTCATTTATTTTATGTTATTTATTTATTGGTATAATAAAACTAGATCAGACATATGTACCTCAAATATAAACTAAGTTCATTGAAGTAAGAGCTAGTATAATTGAACCATTTGCTGTTTGGGTCTGAATAATGACAAAAACAATAAAATAATAGTATTAATATTATTAATTTAATTTTAAATTAACAAAACAAAAAATAAGATTAAAATATAAAAGGAATCAATTTTTTTGAAAAATAGACAAAAAATAAATAAAAATATTGAATAATGAGAGCAAACTGAAAAAAATAATTTCTATTCTCTAAGTCTAATTCTAATAAAATTTATAAATAAATCTACAGTATGAACACCTTCATTATCATCCAGTAGCAGCACTGGCTCCGAGAAAAAGAGATTAAAAGATAAAAACCTCCTCACAGATATGCGCGTGTTCACTTTTATATTTTTATGGATTAGTGCCTTTTATGGAAAATTAAAAAATAATAATTCAAAATAAAATAATTTAATTAATTATATTTAATTTCAAATAATAATAAATAATTTAATTTCAAAAACGACCCTTACTTGTTTTAAAATTTTCCACCGTTCCTTCGCAACCGCCGACATTAAAGTAATTTATCAAACAAATTTCATCAAAAATTAACATTCAAACTCATTAAAGCGACACTTTTATGAGAAAAATCCGAACGAAAACGTATTTAAACTTAAATGCACTTTTAAACAGGAGAAGGTATGTATAATTTGTTAAGCGTTCAACATAGGGTCGGGCTATTCGACTTCCTTGGATGGTTGGCTTATTGGCTTTCGTACGAAATTGTATGGGTTTTTTTGTTTTTGTTCGGTGAAATACAGTGGCTTACTGAAGCCATAGGTTGGACTATGATCACTCTTTTTTTTGCATATATACAGTACTGTGAGAGACTGTTTAATAATACTGTACTATCAATTAACTAGACAATCAATCGATCAACCAAACACACAACCAATAGATTCGAAAGTTCATTTATTTTTTCATTCGTTTGTTCATTCAGTTATTTATTCATCAATTTATTCATTCATTTTTTTCTTCCTTTATTCGTTCATTCATTCATACAATCGTTCGGTAAGATTGTAAAAACATTTCACAACTTATCATAATGGCTAAATCAACATACCAAACAGAAATTTTTTATACATGCATATATACAAAGTAAATCAAGAAATAACAAAAATTATATAGCCAAATAAAAAAAAACCAGAAACCAGTCAACTTTTAATAAATAAATATATTGACATTATTAAAAAGATTGTTCAAAAAGGTAAAATTTAAGGCGACGACGAGAATAAAATGTAGTTTGTTTTGTTGGTGTGGTGTTGTGAAGCGAAAACAAACAAACACATCACAAAAACTAGTAAGAAGTCACAAGAATAGCAGTCAGTCACCTACCTACAATTAAATTACTCTCATGGCCCTAGCTTACTTATAATCATTAACTCAGCTCACTTACCTACAAATTTGTATTTCTACGTTTTAGGGATTTTACATGTTTCAGATATTTTATTTAACATATTTTAGCGTTTTTATTTTACTTGAAACTTTGTAACTAATGTTAAGCCCTAGCCTACCTACGATTGTTCAACTCATCTCAATCCCTAACTTACCTATGAATTAAATTAAATTAAGTCCGGTAAAGAAAGTAGAAAGTTGAAGAGAAACATAACGACACCGAATGAATGGATGTTGTGTATGCGTGTGTTGTATTTATGTGTGTGTGTAAATGTGCGGGCGTGTACTCTCCAGAAACTTCTTCACTCACTACGGATGAACCTCCATTGCGCCGACCATCATCTGCTGACACGCATCGATGGAATGAATTTTATCGGATATCAAAAACACTAAATTGAAGAAAAAATAATAATTGATTAAAATAAAAAACAAGCCATTGGAAAAAATATGCAACTTATCTTTTTGAAATAGCACTCAATCCTTTGTTCAAATTTGAGTACTTTAAAAGGTACAATGGGACAAAAACAAATTTACCTTTAAAATTATTTTAGAATAGTCATCGGAACGATCATCATGAGAACACCATCTGAAACATCCCACAACAGCCCACCTCTCATCATTCTGTAGACACATTTTTTATTAGCATAGTAGTAAATCAAAGAACACAGGAACGAACGAACAAACGAATAAATGATCAACTGAATGATTGAATAATTGGTTGAATGAATGAGAGAATGAATGAATGGATAAATCAATCAATGATTCAATTAATGAATAGAATGAATTAACGAATCAATTAATGGAAGAATAATTTTAAAAATTGAGTGATAAAATAAACGAATGAACGAATGAAAAAAATAAAAAACGAAACTAAACCTTACTTCAAAAATCGTCGTTACTGTAATCCATTGCACCGACCACCACCTTCTGGCCGGCACACAAGATGTCATCCGAACTTCTGATTGTCAGTCGAACAGCCAACGCGCTGATTCTTTCTACACCATCATCATCATACGTAAATCATCATGAGACCACCATCTGAAACGTGCTGACGCCCGCCACAGCCCACCTCTCATCATTCTCTAGAAAAGTTATTTTTATTAGCTTAGTAGTAAATCAAGGAACAAACGAATAAATGATTAATTGAATGATTTGTTGAATGAATGAATTAATCAATCAATGATTCAATGAATAAATAAAATGAATTAACAAATCAATTAATGTAAGAATACTTTGAATGATCGAGTAATAAAATGAACGAATGAATGAATGAGAAAAATGAAAAAACGAAATTAAACTTTACTTCGAAAATCGTCGTTACTGTACTCCATTGCACCGACCACCATCATCTGGTCGGCACACAAGATGTCATTCGAACTTCAGAGTGTCAGTCGAACAGCCAACGAGCTGATTCTTCCTACACCATCATCGTCATACATGAATCATCTGAAACGTGCTGACTCCCACCACTGCCCACCTCTATCATTCTGTAGACAAAAATTTTACCAGCGTAGTACTAAATGAATGTTAGAATCTTAGAAGCAAAAAATTATAAAAAGGAAACAATGGCAAATAAATAATTTTTTAAAATAATAAAGTGATTAAAATGTATAAAAAACTTACCGTCGTCCATTCGACAAAGGCAGAATGTTGAATGCGGATCGGTTCCTACGTTGTCCTCCAAAACTGTTGCCAGTCCTCCTCGAGATTGTTGTTGAAACACAGCCCGTGTTGATGGAGAAAAATAGAGAAAGAGTAGATTCTCATCAGAAAGCTTAGCGGTGCCTGCATCTCAAATTGCTTAATAAAAATAATCCTAACTACCTATTCAATTACCTTAGCTAATTTATATTAAATTGTTAATGGCACGATAGTCGAAAGTTCTCCTTCATTCTCCCTCCTTGCACAGAGGCTCACCGACAGCCAGGGCACCGGATAGTAAACCATTGCCGTGCGGATAGTAGACTATTGCCGTGCGGATAGTAAACCATTTGCCGTCCGGAAGCCGTGCGGGTAGTAGACTATGGCCATACCGCATAGTAAATCATTACCGTGCAGATAGTAAACCATTGCCGTCCGGATAGTAAACCATTGCCGGTTCACCACTGGCCACCAAGGCTTACCTCTGACAAGGGACTTCGAAATTCAGAGTCTATCGGCTATCGTACCCTTAACTTACCTATTCATTACTATTAAGCCCTAGCTTACCTAAAATTACAAAACTCAAGAGCCCAATTCATTGGCCTTTCGGCACCCACCCCACCACCTACGTAATGCCTTGGGCTCCAACTTAGTAATAATAATATAAAACTTAAACCCTAAATCTATTAATGAGTATGTGTTACAACGTAGCCTTAACTTACCTATTCATTACATTATGGCCCTAGCTTACCTAAAATTACAAAACTCAAGAGCCCAATTCATTGGCCTTTCGGCACCCACCCCACCACCTACGTAATGCCTTGGGCTCCAACATAATAATAATATAAAACTTAATAATTAACCTACCTATCGATACACTTACAGCGTTTTATTTTACATTACAAGATTGTTCCTAAAATTACATTATTGCCCTTAACTACCTATGAAATTAAATTACTCTCAACCTTAGTGATAATAAATTAGATTCTGTAATGAATATAAAATTACGCTCAAATACTAACACATGTGTTTATGTATGTACTTGTGTGTGTGTTTGTAATACGCTGATGCGTGTAATGTGGGTGCAAGAAAAAATAGAAGCGATAAACTTACGCTGCCTACCTATTCAACTAAATTAGTGTTGGATGCTTCCTATCTATCCTACCTATAATTAAAATTATGCCTATCTAACCTACCTATATAGCTACTTAATGTAATTGTGTGTGCGTGTGTGTGCATGAGAGAGCATTCTTACTTAATGTTAAATTACAGAGAAAAAAGAATAAAACGTATCCCAGCCAGGCGTGTATTCTTTGCCACTGAATGAACGAACGTAGCCTGACATCTTCCATGATGAACTCCTCTGGAAGCTTCAACCTGAATGAAATGAATAAAATGAAAAAATCTTATTTATTTATTTTATTTAAATAAAAATAGAGAAACGAGCCGCAGTGAAATCCGCCAGCCGAAAAAGCCAACCAACTGGCAAAAAATGAACCGCTAAGAAACCGTAAAACGTACCCCAGCCAGGCGTGCATTCTTTGTCACTGAATGAATGAACGTAGCGTGACACCACAATCATTCTGATCTTCCACGATAAACTCTTCTGGAAGCTTCAACCTGAATGAAGGAACCTGTATGAACCTAAATGAATGGAACAATCTTATTTATTCAATTAATTTGAATGAAAAGAAGCGCAAAGAAACCGACCGGTCGGCAAAGAAAAGAAACTCTATATAACTCTATATAACTCTATATAACTCTATATAACTCTATATAACTCTATATAACTCTATATAACTCTATATAACTCTATATAACTCTATATAACTCTATATAACTCTATATAACTCTATATAACTCTATATAACTCTATATAACTCTATATAACTCTATATAACTCTATATAACTCTATATAACTCTATATAACTCTATATAACTCTATATAACTCTATATAACTCTATATAACTCTATATAACTCTATATAACTCTATATAACTCTATATAACTCTATATAACTCTATATAACTCTATATAACTCTATATAACTCTATATAACTCTATATAACTCTATATAACTCTATATAACTCTATATAACTCTATATAACTCTATATAACTCTATATAACTCTATATAACTCTATATAACTCTATATAACTCTATATAACTCTATATAACTCTATATAACTCTATATAACTCTATATAACTCTATATAACTCTATATAACTCTATATAACTCTATATAACTCTATATAACTCTATATAACTCTATATAACTCTATATAACTCTATATAACTCTATATAACTCTATATAACTCTATATAACTCTATATAACTCTATATAACTCTATATAACTCTATATAACTCTATATAACTCTATATAACTCTATATAACTCTATATAACTCTATATAACTCTATATAACCAAGCATACTACCACATTCAATCAAAAAAATCCCACTAAAACCAGGAACCACCGCGTACCTGTTATATGTATGGTGTGAAACAAAACAAAAAAAACACAACAAAAAACACACCACCAAGTAGAGTAAATGAATAGAAGTCCCTAACCTACCTATGTAACTAAATTACCTTATGCCCTAGCCTACCTATATAATAAATTAATCTCAATCTCACCTACCTACGTTTCATTAGCTTAACTTAAGTCTCATGAAGAAAGAGAAAAAGGAGTAAAACAGAACATAAAATACTACCACACAAACAAACATGATGTATGTATGTATGTATGTATGAGCAACCGCTAAAGAACCCACCTAAAATATAAAAAAATACAACATACAAACACACCAACCACAGACATGCAAACTCTATATAACTCTATATAACTCTATATAACTCTATATAACTCTATATAACTCTATATAACTCTATATAACTCTATATAACTCTATATAAAATAAAATAAAATAAAAGTAAATAAATTTTAAAAAAATAAATATAAAAAAATGAGATCAGGCACTCCGACTCGAGCGAGGAAGAAATGCCTGATCTGATTGCAACGTTTTTTCAGCTCCTATTTATACTCGTTTCAACCATACATTTTCATCATTTCAATCATTCACATCAGTAAAAAACTTATTTAATGTATGTACTACACTATTATACAGTCTTAACCACAATGCTAACCGTACTAAATTGACGTCATCGAACGAACGCCTTCGAAGCTTTCTGATTGGCTGGTTGAATCTGCTATATTGCTTTTTACATAAACATATAATCTTATGAATTATTTGTATACATATATATATATATATATATATATAAATTCATTATAAAAGTAACAGTAATCAGTGCTATATATGTACGCACGCATTTCAAATTTTCTGGGAGAATTCAAATTAGTTTGAGACCACACCTTGCTTAACATCCAATTCCATGCCGAGCCAAGCCATGCTGAGCCAATATGCGTAGATGTATAAGCGCTTTTATATTGAAATTTTGCTCGCTTTATATTCGAATATCCAAATATAACAAATTCTCCATCCTATTTAAAAAATTTTCTTTGATGCTTTTTATCAGTCAGGTCACAAAAATCATTATCGATATCGCGATGAAATCAAATTGAATTTTTTTTTAAATTGTTGATAAAAGTAACTAGTATATAGTAAAAGTTTAAATTTTTCTGAGAGAATTCAAACTAATTTGAGACTACACCATAACTCAATTGTACAATTTGAATGTGTAAATACAACATTATAAATGTTTTATAACTACGTGTATATATCTATCTATCTATTTCTTTATTTAGTTCTGCCTGCGTATGATATTTGGCCATATTTATTTAATAGGAATTGAATATAAGCTTTATACCGGCTGATTAACTTAACTACCGTGCAGTAAAATAACTACTGTTAACATGACGTCATTTCCTCCAACGATTTCGCAACGAATTACCCATCCTATTTAATAAATTTTATTTGATGGTTTTTTGTTAGTCAGGTCACAATCATTGTCATCGATATCGCAATTAAACCAAATTGAGAATTTTTTAAATTTTTGAAAAGTTGAAAAAGGTATCTTTGTTCATTTTATGATACTACTTTGTTCAATAAGATACTGTATGATACATATAACTAGAATAAATGTTGAAAAACAAGTAAGATTGACAATTTTTAACAAATTGCTTAGCAGATAAACGTTTCAATGTTGGATCACTGACTGGCCGCAGCATGAAAATCGCAGAAATGCTCGAGCGTAGAAGGATTGACATCTGCTGCCTTCAGGAAGCCCGATGGAAATCGAATGGTGTCTGTCTTGTCAACTAAGACAAAGAAAAATATAAACTATTCTGGAATGGTCAAAAGACGGCCAAAAATGATGTTGAAATTTTTGTCAGAGAACCGCTAGCCCAAGAAGTACTGGATATTAAAAGGATTAATTCACGTCTCATGTGGATCAAGCTTCGCATAGAAAAGCAAACAATGATTATTTTTTCTGCATACGCACCACAGACAGGCGAATCAGAAGAGATGAAAATTGACTTCTGGGCTGCATTCTCTGACACCATCTCAACAATACCAAAATCTGAAACAATCCTGATTGAAGGCGATCTCAATGGCCACGTTGGAGAGAAAACAGATGGTTTTGACAACGTACATGGCGGTTTTGGCTTTGGAAAACGGAATGAAGATGGCAACCGCATCCTTGAGTTTGCTGAAAGTCACGGGTTTTGTTTACTGAACACTTATTTTAGAAAGAGGTTGGAACATCTCATAACATACAAAAGTGGACCATCAGCCACGCAAATTGATTTCTTCGCTGTCAAGCAACCACACCGAAGGCTGTTCAAAAACGTCAAAGTTATACCTGGCGAATCATGTGTCGCCCAACATAGACTTCTTGTGGCAGACCTGGTTGTTGAACAGTCAAAACATAAGTCTAAACAAATGCCTCAGAGAATCAAAACGTGAAAGCTGAAAAGCAATATTCATCGAGAAAAATTTCAACAGATTGTCGCCACACAGTTAGACCACCAATCGCAAGCCAGTACAGATTGGAGTACATACAAAACAGTTTTGATAAACGCTGCAACTACAGTTTCTGGGAAAACTGGTACAAAACGTCAGCATGAACGTGACACTTGTTGGTGGAATGACAGTGTACAAAATGCAATAGCTGAAAAGAAAGTTGCATACAAGCAATGGCAAAAATCAAAGTCTGTTGATGACCATAAAATTTTCCGTGAGAAGAACAACTATGCAAGACGTCAAGTTGCACTGGCTCGGACAGATCAGTGCAGAGAGTGGCTCACTAAAAGCAAAGGTGAACAAATGAAATCTCTGTATCGTATAGCAAAACAAGCAAAGCGTACGAAAAAAGACATAGTTGGTGCCTCATGTATCAAAAATGACAAAAATGAGATGGTTTTTGAACAAGATGAGATCAAGCTACAGTGGAGAGAATACTTCAACCGTCTGTTAAACGAAACAAATCCCATCAATGTTAACTTTGACGCTCCACCTATCGAAGGTCCGATTCCAGACATTACTATAGAGGAGCTTACAGAAGCTCTGAAAGCTATGAAGGATGGAAAGGCAGCAGGGCCCTCTGGATTCACAAATGACATTATCAAAGCATCTGGTACTGCAGGTATCAAAACGTTACTACAACTTTGCCGTAAAATCTGGAGAAATTGCTCAATGTATACCTACAAATTTTCAGTTTGTAAATTTGTTCCCTGTTTGCTGTTGTAGTTTGTCCTGTCAAGTTTTCTATTCCGAGAATTTGCTTCTACGTTTTAAATTTTAACATTTATTTTGTTATTTTTAATAAATGATCAATAAATTTCTTCGGCATATATAATATCTATTATTTGTACTCTTCTCAAGTTGAATTCAATAAAAAAAAATCATTTAATAATAACACGAGTTTTGTATTAGTCACCGAATGATGAGCTGAACATTTCGAAATATAAAAATTTTATCAGCCGAACTCGTTCGTTTACGTGACAGGCGCCTGTTCCCATCACCCACTCTTCAACATTCACATAGGCCAAACACAAAACGATGCACAAAATTATCATCTTAAAATTGTCGAAGGCCAACACTGAACTCTTCCGTACGCTTAGTATTGGTTATATCTAAATGTCAATAGTTTGAAAACTATTATACTTCTACCATATTACTACTCACTTCATTTCTCCAGTAATTCACATTGCAACTCACAGCTACGAAATTTGTTTTTCTATGCTGGTAGGTCGTAGTTTTTTTTCCTTTTTTGTTTTTGATAGGAAAAATGCGCGTTAAAATTTCTATCACGGATATACGTTACACAATCAATTAAAAAATAATTGTAGTTTATAAAAGAAATGAGCCACAACGTTAGTCGGTTAAAATTAATCATCACCACCACGGTCCAGTCCGACCCTCCATGACTTTATTGACATCCATCCACCTCCATCTGCCAGCTTCCGCAGCAACCTTCAGGTCCGCTTAAGTGCTTAGAAGTTTTTTTAATATTTCTACTTTTAAATTGATGTTCCAAAGATTTAAACATTTCCTTATTGTCCTACCTCAGGAAACTGGGTCTCTGGACGCTAAACGAAGATTGATTGATTGATTGATTGATTGATTGATTGATTGATTGATTGATTGATTGATTGATTGATTGATTGATTGATTGATTGATTGATTGATTGATTGATTGATTGATTGATTGATTGATTGATTGATTGATTGATTGATTGATTGATTGATTGATTGATTGATTGATTGATTGATTGATTGATTGATTGATTGATTGATTGATTGATTGATTGATTGATTGATTGATTGATTGATTGATTGATTGATTGATTGATTGATTGATTGATTGATTGATTGATTGATTGATTGATTGATTGATTGATTGATTGATTGATTGATTGATTGATTGATTGATTGATTGATTGATTGCTAGGCTGACTCTTCCACTTTTTTTGTGAATAAAATGGATTAGAAAAAAGTATGAACGTGAAGCATGCAGGTGATTAAAATTAATGAGCTTCAAAGTCATCCACATTCACGACAGTAACAGCCACAGTAACATCTGACACACTCAGAGCCAAAGTTTACCGTTAATAAAATTAGTAATAGCAACAGTTGTGTTTGAATAACTCACGGCTGTAGTCAATGTCTTTATTATACATGCTTATAGTTGTGTATGTGTGTAAGAAATATCATTAGTTTCTGTTTTTTAACAACCCAAGAGGGTTTAAAAATTTTAATTATCTAAATAATTATAGTGATTCAACATTGGAAAGAAGCCTAATGAACGAAACAATCATTACATTCAACTTTATTTCAATTAAACATTTTAACTGTATCATTTACAAAAAAATATCAACAAATTCATGGAGAGATATTTCAAATGGATCCCTTCAACTCCACATTTCTCCACCCCTTCCGTCCCAGCCTCACCCACCCACCTAGCCATCCACCCGCCACCACTACCACCCACAGAGGCACCTACAGAATGGAATGTTGTGGGTGGTTCTGGACGCACAACATGAACTCACTGACCGGAATCTTCTTGATCATGGTCAGGTGAACCGCACGAAAGATCGGAAATCTGTGTGTGTGTGTGTGTGTGCGTGTGCGTCCGTGCATGTGTGTGCGTACGTGCGTGCGCGTGTGTGTGTGTGGGCAAATTTCTGTTCAAGTGGAGCAATTTCTCCATATTAATTTCTATTTACTATTTATAATATAAACAATCAATCGAATAGACTTTTTGAAAAATTATTTGAAATGTCTGAATGACCAGCTTACAACACATTTCTGCATTGTTAGACTAAACAAAAACTAATGAATTTTGGCCCTGAAGACTTTAACAATGGGGTAATAAATATTTTAATGGGTTTTTTCAAGATGAATAGAAAAATATTGGAACTAAGAATTTAAAAAGAAGATAATATGAAACAAACTTCTCCATGATGTTCCTGTGAAAAAAAAAATAATTTAAATATAACAACAAATTGACATTTTTGAGAGACAACCGTCAATAGACCTAAAAATTTCTCAAAATTACTCATAACATCCAAGAAAAGAATTGCAACTTTAGTGTTATCCAGGCTCTAGTTTATATGATTTGTGTGCAGACAAAATTAAATCAGGATAACGGAAGATAAGAACTAACATTGAGGAATAGTAAGATGGCCCTGCCTTGATATCATCCCATCATCCGTACATTATCAACAATATTATAATCATTATCAACAACATGTTTGCCTCCATTACCGTCATCATCATCATCCTTATCATCATCATCATCATCATCCTTATCATCATCATCCTTATCATCATCATCCTTATCATCATCATCCTTATCATCATCATCCTTATCATCATCATCAACAGTCTCCACTATCACACAATCACCCTTAACACACTTCTCCACTTCACTCTCCCTCTCAAGTATGGAATAGATGTTGCCAGCTGTAATCGGTCCTTGCAGCTTCTGTCCTTGTAGCATTTCTTCTTCCAGTTCTGCCAGAGTCTGTTGTTGTGTTGGTTGGTGGTGTAGTTGTTGATGTTTTGTTGTTGCTGTATTGTGGTGTTGTTTTTGTATTGTTGTGTTGTTGCTGTATTGTGTTGTTGTTGTATTATTGCTGTTGTAGTTAATAAATGTTGTTGTAGTTGTTGTAGTTGATATACTTGTCGATGTGGTTGTACTCGTGTAGTTGTTGATTCTAATTCTGTGTAGTGTAGTGTCTGCAGTGAAGCTGTTGATGCTGGTGTTAATGCAGTTGCTAATTGCTGATTGTGGTGATGATGACTATCGTGAGGATGGCGATGATTTTGTTGTTGTTGTTGATGATGATAATGATGATCGTGATGATGATAATGATGAAGATGACCATTTTGATAACGATGCTGGCTGTCCATAACGATAGCAGCTCAAGCTAAATAGCTGGTTGTAAAAAATGAATAAATTAATTTTTACAATCTTCAAACTATGCAACAGCTTATGGCCAACCTATATTAGGCTAACATCTTCAGGGAATTGTACCTTACCTAAGGTAGATTTGCCTTCTGTGTTTTGGAGATATTGTTTTTAGCGGTAGATTTGCGTTTCGCATACCGTTTTATACGGTCGTACGTCATATTTCGTCGATTTTGTCTGAAACCATGTCAAATCCGAAGCCCGAAATTCTCTTCGATCCATTGCCTGCCTATCTCACGTCCTGCTTTCGAGCCCGAAAGGGAGTTCCGGATAAATCTAATGGGAGAAAACTTAAAAAGGTAATTTCAAATTTTGTTTTTTTTTTTTAATTTCATTCGACTGAACAAATAGATGACTGAACGATTGAATGAATTAATAATTTCGCTGATCGTTAATTTTATGTGAGGTACCTAATTGATCTGAGAACTAGATTCGACTGTGTTAAATTTTTACGTAATGATTGTAGTATTGAATTTGTCAATTTGTAAATTTTTTTAAAAAGCGAAATTGTCCAAACTTGCAATCTAAGACTGGATTGATCGAATAAACAATATTGATATGTATTAACATGTGGGAAGCATAGTGTACGGAGGTAATAATGACAAACGCAATATTCCTTCTAATTAATAATCGTTTTTCTGAAAAAATCAAAACTATTATATCTAGTTCATCTTTATTCATTTGCAAATTCATCAATAAAATACGCATTTTGGTTAAAATGTAGAGATTTTTTGAAAAAATGCATTGCGGGCCGCCAGAGAGGATTGATACTTTCAGTAGATGGATAGTAGATACACGTGGTTAACTACATACAGGCTAACACATTGGAAGCACGTGTTGATACCACGTGTGTGATGCTACGATGTCACTTACCTGTTTGCTAATTTAAGTAGTTATCTACTCTATCATATCGTATATCCTAAAATGCATTTTTACTTTTGAAAATTATTAAAAAGGTATTTTTTTTACACTAAGACATACACTTTGAGCATTTTAACAACAGAAAAATAAATTAGATTTATCTTTCCCGGCCCATTATGATGCTTGCATGCGACTTTCAACTGTTGCTTGGAATACCGATGAGTTAATAATTTTAACTAATTTATTATTAGTTATAAATAATTATTTATTAATTGTCATTAGTTATGAATAATTATCGGTTATGAATAATTATTAGCTAAGCCGTGCATGCGCGTGTATCTTCTGGGCAATTTTACGATCACCACATGGCTGGCCTAGGCTTGTTTGACCTATTAAGGCGTTCATATGCTTAATTTATAGCCCGGCAAACTGATAGTAAATTTAACCACGTGTTTTACAATTATATCATATATTAAACTGGTAGAAGACTTAGTCACGTGTTTTAGAGTTATATCAGCTTGTTTGATATTGACTTCGCTGACTCGATTGTCTCCTAATCTCTTGGTAAAGTTATATTTTGATATTTTAATGAAAAAATAAATCATCAATAATTAAATGAATTAAAAATTGAAAAGATAGATGAAATAATTTTTCTTCGAATTTTAGTGATTTTATTCGATCAAATAATTTTGTCTTCAAACCTTAGTTTAAGTGTTCATTGAACTAGGCCTTAAAAAATTAATTAGCTATTGAATGTAAAGTAGTTTACATTTGTCAAATAATTATTATTGTTTGAAATTGATTACGTGCAACATTATCATTAAATGAAAAGTTTGTACGGCAATTTTATGTGTATATTCAGGCACTATTTATCAATTATAAGACTCAAAAACTGAAATTCATTGTTAAATTGAACTGCAAAACACGCGTATATTTGTATAATTTGAATTGCAAAGAATTCTTTTGGAGTATAAGCTACCAGTAATTTTTCATCAATAGGTTGCGCTTCATGGATTATCAAATAGTTATAGCACAGCACTGTATGTCGAGGAAGCCATGTTTTTTATTTAGTTGTTTGTGTGTGTTAAACTTCATTTTTACAATTTGCTGTTTTTCACGAATAAAATTCATTTAGAAATGTTATGACGCCATTTTTATATTGATAAGTTGAGGATTAGTTGAGAGAAATAATCGGAATAAATCTCAATAAGCTGCATCCATAAGTACGTCACGCGCCTAATTAATCACTAATTTCATAGAGCCTGAATCACTAATTTTCAAATTGTGGCGGTTGCTCGTGATTATCGCCCATTTTGTTTCTTTTTTGTTCACTTGTTTCGTGTCCTTTAGCCAAATTATTTCTTAAATTCGATGTAGTTGTAAAATTAACTTTTTGTGCTGTCAAAAATGATAGTTGCTATGTTATTTGTGTTGATGTCAGTTTATTTCATCAAAATTTTATCATCAGATTGTTGAACAACATTCCCAAGAGCTAACTCTTTGTCAGATTGCCGATTTTAAGAAAGAAACAATGGTAATTCATTGTTAAAACAAAATGATGACTGTTTTATCATGCTCCTAGGTGGTGTCATTTGCTCATTTTCTTATAATTAGTGATAACTGAGTAGTAATGTAATCATGTGCCCAGGACATGTGTGTAGTTGGCAGTTATCTTTGTGCAGCTTTCCATACAATTTGTAGCCCCAAAATTAAAAATCTTCATTTTTAATATTTCTTCTTTCTCTATCTCGAGTGAGTGGAGTTGTGTGCATTTTTTGATCATTTGATTGTCATATTTTATTACATTTACAAAAAATTATTTAATTTTTTATTTATTTGCGCATTATTTTTATTGGTATTTCTAACCTTGTATTGTATTTAAAATATAAATGTTTATGTATATGGGTGTATTTTTATGTATGTGTAAATTTTTAAATGACTTCGTGTTCAACAATTGCTTAGTCTGACAACGGTAAGATGGATGCGTCAAACGATTATGACGATGGCACCAGTGACCAGGAATTTGGTAGCCAGTCTACTAATCAACGTCAGTCATCTTCCGGGTCTGTGGGTCCAACTAAATACCCCATGACCAACCAACTGCAGTACATATTGAAATCTGTCATCAAACAAACCATGAACCAGAAAGTGGCTGGACCTTTTCTAAGACCAGTAGATGGAAAAATTTATGTGGTTTGTGTTTTTTATTTATTTTATTTTTTATCATTAACATTTAAAATTTAAAATCATTTAAAATCAGTATCATTTGTATCTGTATTTGGTTTTCTAATTTTAACTCTTCCTTAATTTTAGGATTACTATGATGTGATAAAGAGCCCTGTTGATTTGAGTAGTATAAAGAAACGTTTGACCAATCGCCAGTATCAAAACGCTAGTCAGTGTATTGCGGATTTCAGGCAGATGTTTGCCAACTGCATAACTTACAACCAAGATAAGAATGATGTGAGGATTAATCATTTTTTTCAGTTTTTGTTTGTATGATTATTTTTATCAAATTTTTATCTTAGGTTTATTTTATAATAATATTTTTAAAATTAAATCATAATTTTCTTAGCCGGACATATTACAAATGAACCAAACTCTGGAGAATTTTTTTAATGAAAAGCTGATAAAGATGCCTTCAAAAGTAAGTTAATCTTGCTTTTCACATACACACATTTCACTCTCTCCCTCTTCTTCTCTTTCCCCTCGCTCTCTCTCTCTCTCTCTCTCTTTCTTTCTCTGTTTCTCTCCTTCTCTCTCTCTCCCACACACACACACACGCTGATATTCATAACACATCGAAAATATTATTTGAAGCGGTTCACTGTAGAATTTCACTAAAGAAATATTGAGTTTTTTGATTAACTTGTATGTGTATGTATATATTAATATTATACACATATATTTTCTTTTGTATATATTATTTATGGTTTTTTGGTAAATTAATTCTTCAGGAACAGGTTACTCAGTCGGCCTCGAAGCCTAAATCGGCAAGAAAACCAACTAAGAGTAATAAAAGTTCCACATTTGGTTCGGCCACTCCAGCAAATGGATCTATTTATAGCATCGATGAGTCATCAAATGGTTCGACTGTTTCGAGGAAAAGACGAACAAGTACTAATTCGACGACGTCAGTATCGAAAAATGATTTAGCCATAAATTCGATAACTCCACCAATGCCGACTAATACGATGGCGGCTGCCGGTGCTATGTCAAATATGCAACAGCAATCACAACTGGATGATCATGTTAGTAGGAAGTATTTTCTTCATTTCTCCTTAATGCAGGCTTTAAAAGGAAATTATCTTTTTTGGTTAATCATTGTTTGATTTTTGATTTAAAAATCTTGACAATTTCTACCAGAATGCTGCTAGTTTTATCTGTGTTTATGATTTGAAAAAGATATCATTTCACAAAAAAAACTCAGGCCAAAAAAACAGTTAAAAAGTCTGTCGACAACTCGGCTCCTACCTCGAGACCCGCTAGCAATACTGCAACACGAAACAGCAACAACAGCAGCAGCAGTACTAAGAAGGTAAAGAGAGAGGTGAAGAGCTTCAAAAATGTATATGACAGTAGTAACGACAGTACCGAGTTTAAAGAAAGTACCAAAGCTGGTGGTTCAAGTGGTGCCAGTAACAGCATGACTTCAGGCAAAAATACTGGCCTAACTTCACTGCAGATATGCCACAACATGCTTAAAGAGATGTATGCTAAGCCACTTTCTGTTAGTCTATGTTCACTTTTTTCTATATTTGAATTAATCATTTAATGGTATTTTTCTATAGTTATTAGTGATTTCTTGAAATAATTAAGCATTAACCTTAGTTCTCTTATTTAATGAATTTACTATTAGATATTTGATGCAACATTTCAGTTGATTTCATAATAATAATAATAATATTTTATAAAATTATTTTAAATGATAATAATTAATATGTAAATTAATTTTTTTGCAATTTTTTCCTTGCTATAGAATTCTGCATCATTCTTTTATTCACCAACTGACTCATCGAAACCAGGCTATGAGATGTATTATGATGTTATCAAGAAGCCAATGGATCTAGCTACTATAAAGGTTAGCTGGGTTGTTCATTCATTTATTTATTAATTATATACCATGAAGAATTTATGATTATAATGTTATAACCCGATGATAAATTTGTAGAAACGACAGTGCCTGTTTTATTTTATATCATATTCTACGGATAATAATATAAAAAAATATATTTGTATCATGTTCAATAATTCAAAATTAATTTTTTTCCTGGCCACTATTCGATCTCTTTCTAGTATAAATTTGAGAATGCCAAGTACAAGTTTGCGAAAGAGTTTGCAGACGACATGAGGCTCATATTCTCAAACAGCTATAAATTCTTCAACACCGAACACGAGGTTCTCCAAGCAGCTCGAATTCTTCAGGTTTGTGAAACATACAAAATGCCCTATTTCTGTCATAAAAAATTTCCATCAACTTATTAACCCACTTATAAAAGGGATAGATAACTTTTGAACCGCCTAACATATAAACAGGATAAATTTGAGTTGAGGTTCGCATGCATTCCCGACGACATGGTAAAAGAACCATCTCTGTTACCTGCCATCAAACCACCACCACAACTTCCTAGAAAGAGGAAAGCCCCGAACGACGGTGAAAGTAGTAGTGAGGCTGATAGCGCAGAGGATGAGGATAGGGTCAAGATCAAAGAACTCCAGTCTACTGTAAGTAACGACGACCTTATTAATGTCTACTATTTTAATTTGCTTTTCTGCTATAATCTCAAAGGTGTAACATTTACGACAGTCTCTATCTATCAAACAGATTGAAACTCTGCAAAGAGAAGTCGCTAAGCTAACCGAAGAGGGGGTAAAGTCTAAAGAAAAGAAGGATAAACAGTCCAAGCAGCACTACCACGACCAATTTCAGCAGCAGCACCACCAAATTCCATCACCACCGCAGCAGCAGCAGCAGCTGCCACAATATACGTCTAATGCGGGCTTAAATAGGAGCTCTGCAGCCAGTCATCTAACATCGACTTCAGGTAATAAGCCAACAGCAGCTGAACCTAAACGATCTCGAATGTCAAAAGATTCCAATGTTAAAGAGGGCTTAATGTCTCCGGCGGCTCCACAACCACCCCGACGGCCGCGACAAAAACAACAAAACTTGCAGCAACAGCAGAGACAAACTGGTAAAAAACGCCAGTCTCCAAAAGCAAACAGTAACAGTGCAATGAAGAACACACAGCAGCAGCAACAACAGCAGCAGCTGCAACAACAAATGCAAAATAATTTTCCTTCCCCAGTCCCAACACATCAGCATCAGCAGCCACAACAGCAAATCTACAGTCAATCGCAGTCGTTAACACCACAACAACAACATCAGCAGCAGCAGATGTCACAACCGTACGTAACTTATTTCAATGATTCCAATTCTGATCCGATGACGTACGAAGAGAAGAGATTGCTGAGTGTACAAATAAACAGACTCCCTGGTTTGTTTTCTTTGTTTTTTATGTCGGCCTGTCTGTCTATATGTCTCTATGTTGTCTTCTTGTTGATTCATTATTTTGTAGTTAGTTACTATGTTTGATTTGTTTTTATTTTCCTCATGATAATTATTATTTTACAATAACATAACTTCTACACATGAACATGAACCATGCCACAGCCGACAAATTAAGTCAACTGGTCTTCATTATAAAAGCCGGCGAACCACAGCTAAAGGATTCAGACCCCGACGAAATCGAGATCGACTTTGAGATTTTAAAACTGTCGACGCTGCGAGAGCTAGAGAGGTACGTACAATCCTGTAATCTATCCCCTCCTCCCCCGGAGCTATATCCTGATATTACTAACAGTGGGAGTATTAGTAATAACAGCGAGGGATGTGGGAATACTAATGTTCCCGATCCTAACATCGCTAGTAGCAGTACTGATAGGAGCTGTAGTAATGTGTCTGGAGACGGTAGTGTGGGTTAGTATTTTTGGCTGTTTATGTGGTTTTTTTGTGTGGGAGCGTGTGTGTGTTTGTGTGATAATTATTGTCTATTTGTTTTTAATTATCCTTTCATTCATTCATTTGTTTGTTTTTATGACTTGTTCTTTCATTATTTGTTCATTCACTCTAATTCATTTTCACAAGGAGTATAGAGTGATAGTAGCTAGATAAAACTGTTAAATACAATATAATTCATCCATTCACATAGGGTATGCCCAACAGCCAAACATGCACCAACAACATCATCACCAACAACAGCAGCAGCAGATGTTCAACAACAACAACAACAACAACAATTATTATCCACAACAACAGCAACAACAACAACATCAACAACAACAACATCAGCAACAACAACATTATCAAAATCAACAACAGCAGCAACAACAACACCATCCATCCAACCAGCAAAATACACCCAGACCATCACTAACTGATGGTAAAATTGAGAGTATGTTTGCTAAAAACATTTCATTTTTTAAATTTAACTCCTAAAATGTTCGTCTTTTATTTGTATTTATTATTATATTGTATTTTATTTTTACTTTTATTTTTTTTATTTATTTATTCTCCTTTTTAACAATTTTCTCTGGCGTATTTATCAGGGTTATCAACTGTAACACCTCTTCACCATGGTGACACCATTAATTATGCCATATTTGTTGTATTAATTCGTTATATTATTAATTGTTGATAATTTTTTCATTCTTAGGCCATCAATTTGCCAGCCAGCAGAAGAGTCAAGTATCCAAGTCTCCAAACGTAGGTAGGAGAAGTAACACGCCACAGCAGCCACAGCAGCAACCCCAGCAGCCACAGCAGCAGCAACCACAGCCGCAACATCGATCAAATGATAATAATTATTTCTCGCAACAACCACCTCAACATCAATTCTCATCTCAGCAACAGAATACTTTTTCTCCTCAAAACAACAACAGCAGCAGCAGCAATCAGCAGCAACAACAACAACAACAGCAACAACAACAGCAACAACAGCCAGCTGATAAGCTATTTTATCAGCCCATGATGTCACCTTATGGACACAATTCTCAACAACAACAGCAACAACAACAGCAACAACAACAACAGTACCATCAGCAACAACATCAACAAAGTTACAATAATAGATCCCAGAGTGTCATACATAACAATAATAGTAGTAGTAACAATAATAACGTCTACAACAACGTTGATGGCAACAACGCATCGCAAGAATCTCAGCAACAATACAACAACAACAACAGCTACTACAACACAGACAACAGTAGCGGTAGCAGCAACAAACAGCCTAGCAACAGTCATTACAACAATAGTCCCCATAGTCCATTTTCACATCAACAAAAGTCTGGCATAAATTTAGGTAGTAACATCAAGAACAGCAGCAACTCAGTTTTGAAAAGTGCGGCCGAAGAATCGTCGTCATCATCGATTAGTAACAGTCCCAAGCTAATGAGTACTGCTACTACTACTGCTTCTTCCACCGGTAATAATACTACCGGTAACAACATTAAGCCAAATAGCGTTATATTCCCGGCACTGACTGCTGCCACTTCCAGTTTGTTCAATTTTTTACTTTTTTCTATTCATTTGTTCATAAATTTTACAGTGAATCCATGAATTATAGAATGGGCTCATAGTTTGTTCTCGCTTGTCAGTTTTATTCTTTTATATTTATTATTTAATTTAAAGTGTAAATTGATTTCATTTGACTGGCAGGTCTGAACTCCCCGTCGACGCTGTCGAATCAGTTAGGCAGTTCATCAGCGAAGGCAGGCAAAGATAATCCACTAAAGAATTTGTGTTCCTGGTCCTCGCTGGCCTATGGAAAGCCCAATAATCAGACCTCAAGTCTTGCTAAGATCAACTCTGATCACAGTTTCAACCACTTTAAGAAGCAAGCGGAAGAAAAGAAGGAAAGGGTATGTTTGTGTTTGTTTGTTTGGGTTTGTAAGTGTGTATGTGTGTGTGTGTGTGTGTGTGTGTATGTGTGTGTTCATGGCATCATTATATCTGTGTATGTGCATGGAAATTAGAATTATGTTAAGAAGAAAAAATTGTAAAATTTGAACACCCTACAACTGCAACGAACGCATCACCATCTACCAAATTAGGAACGAATATCTAGAGAGCAAGAGGAGCAGAAGCGCATGAGGCAGGAGCAGTACAATGCAGAGAGGCTGAAGAAGGAGAAGGAGCTGCAGAGAGCACGAGAAGAGGAAGAAGCTCTGGCATCCGTCCTAGGCAGACCTCCTCCGAACTCGCGCAATCAGTCGCCGAATCTTCCATCGTCGTCGCCGTTCACTCCGACCTTTCCCGGCCCATCTACGTCATCTTCGACGTCATTGAGTGGTGGCAGTGGAAATGGTGGTGCAGCCGGTGGCGGTGTCAGTAACGCTGATGTCAACAGGCTGAGAGAGCAGCAGAGAATGGAAAGACAGACTGTTAGTAGTGTAGTCTTTTATGTTTTTGTTTGTTTGCTTGTATGTTCGTTCGTTTGCTTATTTGTTAGTTTGTTAGTTTGTTTGTTTGTTTGTTTGTTGTTGGTCGTAGAGAGTAGTATTGTGTTGTTGGTACTGCTAGTAGTATTGTATAGTATAGTCATTGGTAGTAGCACAGTTGCACAGTTGCTGTTGCTGATGTAGATGTAGTTGGTTTATTAAAAAGTTATTGTCCTTTGTGATTGTTATTTATTATGGTTCATAATTATTCTTATAATTATAATTAGTAACTTTATCCACGCCACACACACACGCAC